AGAGAGAGAGAGAGAGAGAGAGAGAGAGAGAGAGAGAGAGAGAGAGAGAGATCTATGTCTCTTATTGGGTCAACCAGTCAGAATATTTATTTCGTGATACGTTTTCTTTTTAAACATCTCAGCAACAAAGGAATGGCCTTCATTCTCCAGACCCTCAAGAAATTGTTCCCATAATGTTAAGTTTATGTATCAGGTAGCTCTTGAATTAACTGACATTTTGATCCCTCCCCCATTTTTGGGTAAAATAATAAAATGATGTTGTTGTCTTAGATATTATTATTCCCTTTTACGGGTCTCTGCATAAACTGGGTTGTGAAAACAAATCGAATGCGGGTTCTGAAACCAGGGGCCATGTCTAAAAAAGATTTAACAGACAATTTAATGACTTAAAGTGACTAGTTTCGTCTTCTTTGGCATCAATAATGATAATGTGATAACAATGAAAGAAATAACAATAATACTTAACTGAACAATAATGATACTGATAATAACAGTGATACTATCATTAGTATTATAGTAATACCAATAATAATAATGTTTTGGCATGAATTTATTGATTTCTTGTTCTGACATTTATCCGCAGGGTACGTCATATCTGTGATTACTGGGGATACGACCCTTGCCTTGTCATTGACGTCACCTGTCCTTGTGCCATTCCTCCTGTTTGGTGGCGTCTTCTTAAACGGAGAGTAAGTCTTCTTTCTTTAAAACGAAGAATAAGTGTTCTCCCTTTTAACCGGAGAGTAAGTCTTCTTTTTTTTAAACGGAGAGCAAGTCTTCCTCCTTTAAAACTTTCGATCTCATTACACTCGAAGACCTCTATCTCTGAACACCTGAACATCAGCTTCGCAATGACTAGTGGTTACCACAAATCGTATTTTTAGTTCTACATGAATATTATCTTTCCTGTCTCATGTATTCCTGTGTAAAACTCCCACTTATATTATAATTAATAAACGTTATTTACTCATTTTTATACAACGTGCATCCTCTTCATAGATGGATTAAATTGAATCAAAGTATATGTTTGCCAAGCGCGATCAAGCGAACACTGTATGACTAGCCTCGATCATCATGTGTATGATCAAGGCTTTTAAAAAATATTTTGAGAGAAACTGAGTAAAATAACTAAAATATATTTTTCTATTCACAGTGACACACCTGTCTATTTCGTTTGGCTAGAAGGGGTGTCCTGGTTCAAATATTCTAATGAACTAATGATGGTGAACCAATGGGAGAAAGAGGAGTACATAGGTAGGTATACATTACTCAAAGCGTGCTTTGATGATGTTGGGTTCAAATTGGTTTTCATTTTAAGGATGTGTTTTATGGTTCATATCATGTATATTACGTAAAGTTCTGACTTTGAAAAAGGTTCAAAGGTCTTTTATGTGAGGACAGATATGTAATGCTGTTGCGTACATGTGGATGGTATTGAATACAGTCCGTACGAATGGAGTTATTGTAAAAATGGTGAAATGATCAAGGTTTAACGCTCCTATCAACACTATTAGGTTATTTAAGAGGCGGGATCTCCGAGTTTAACACCCATCTCCGAAAGGACCGAGTCAAGTGGGAAATTCGTGTTAAGTGCCTTTCCGAAGGACAAAACATCGGACCGAGCTGAGGCTCGAGCGAACCCCCGAACCCCGATCTCACCATCACGGGTCTGGTAGCCTAACCGTGATGTTATTGTAAAAAATGTTTGAATAGAGTAATGGTGCAGTGTTGTTTGAATTTTTAAGGACAAAACACCTCTCTGGCTGAAATTGAATTCTCACAGCATTTCCCAGTTTTCCTTCTTTTTGGCTCCACATTGAGTCAAATGGTGCGCTCCATAGTATTTCGTAATTACATCAAAGTACACTATCTAGGATATTATGATTAAGTCTATGGTTAGTAATGACTTGATTGTCTTCAGAAGAACGCAAAACTTAGCTTTAAAAAAATAGATCAATGTGATAGAAATGTTGCTGTTGCCTTGGAGACAATTGCCTATCTGAGTTTTCTGTATATCATTATTATTATTGTTTCAGAATGTGAGAACAAAACAATCTCGCCCAACAGGACCCAGAAGGAGATTTGCCAGGCCCTTACTTGTCAGTTCACCTCTGGGGCTGACGTCCTCGAATACAACAGCATGGACGCTGTGAGATTTCCTTCTGATACTTCCATAATGATGTTGTTATTTTTAATGGTTTCTTTTGTATTTTCCTTTCTTGGAATTGATGCTACGAATGCTGTTTTTGTCGGCTCCGGTGCATGAGAGCGAACTTCACTGTTCAACGAAGTCGAAGAATGAACATGCCGCCAGTCTTAACTTGCGATCGATTCATGTACGGTACTCTCTAGCTGATAAATTTGACGTAGCACAGTCAAACCATAGAGCCTTACAAGAGCTTACAAAGGTACACAATAAAAGCTTGGTCATTTATACCTTCATTACGAGAAATCCAAACTGAGAAATAATATCGAAGGAAACAGCCCTTACCCACCATACAAGCGGACTGAAATGTCAACCGTCACAAATGCGTATGAGGTGCTTCATGGCAATCGTCAACCCTTACACCAACATTTATTGGGCATTCACTGATGCCTGCAACATGCACAGTACCAGACTGAGCTCAGGAAGAGATTGCAGTTTCTTATTGAGCTGAAGAAAGATGTACAGAGCCCCCCTCCCCCGTCCCTTTATTAAGAAAGAAAAGGGTAGCATACCATTTGTTGGCTGAGAGAAGAACTACAGGTAAAACAAGAGATAAAAAATCCCTGAATTAGAATTTCAGAAAGTCCTGGCTAAGTAAATGCTGCCCCATCCCTTGTCAATATGACTACCGTAAATAAATGGTAACAAGACTCGAAACAGATTTGTCACAAATTTTAAAACAAGAACTATGATAATTGACCATTTACAGTTTGTAGTCGGAGCTGCTTCCGATAAAATTCTTTCTGCCTCGAAGCTACAGCGCAGGGAGGGGTGTATTGTTTGAAGTGTTAAACAATTGGAGCTTCGAGTTCGCTTTCTTGACTTATTCCGGTTTGCTGTTGTTTTCCTGTTACTTTCGCTCTTCGTAGTAGCCCTGCTGCTATTACTTTTGTCCCAAATACCATCTGTTGATGGCGCTGACGTAACGACTGTCCCTCTAAAAAGATTACAACTTTGGTGGCGGGTGGTTGCTTTAAACTCTTCCTTCTTATGAAGTAACAGTGGAGTATTTAATGTGTTCTACAAGAAAACCAGGTGGTAGATGGGGACTTTTGTGTGGTCTGTTAGTTTTGCTTTTTTTATACCGGTAGTGCCTTTTTTTTCTTACCAGTCCCTTGAAAATTAGACTGCTTCGTACTGATTAGCCCTTGGGCGTAACTCGTATAGGTTAACGTTCATTCATAGACTCGTATTATAAAGTGTCAGGAGCCCAGAGGAGGGGCAAAGGAGGTGAGGGTGTGGGAGGCAGAAAGCGGAGACGAAAGCAGACGACAGAACACTGTTAGAGTGCAGGTGAGAAGGTGAAAGAAGAACATTCTAGAAAATAAAATTTTAGAAAAGAAAATGTTTCGACGTTGTCCGGATTCGAACCCGGGACCTATTGAATAAGAGGCGAACACCGTAGCGTCTCGACCACGAGAGGCTCATGAACACTTCGAAGAGAAGTTTTTAAAAAATATATAAACAAAAAGCAGCCGCCATGATAATGCAGGTCAGGAAGTAGGTAAATGTACATGTATCACAACGCATTGGAAACAGGCGCTCGTCAAACTTCTGGCAGATAGAGTTATTGGTGTCATCTCAAAGCTTGTTCATTTGCCTTGCTTTAGGGGAAAATGCCCTTTTGCGTGAAATAGAAGACGAAATATTTGCGCGATTGAAGGAGGTGAGGGCTAGATCTTACCTAGCTTCAGAGGTTAAACTAGCGAGATAATGACCACCAGAGTTTGGTGAATTCGAAAGCTTGAGAGTCCTTGGAAACTACAAATTTACCTATTTTAAAGGTTTTTTTCAACTTTTTTCAAGTACGATCCACACAGACATGTGATTTTAATGGACATAATTAGTGTTGAGCCAAAAAAAGAAGAAGAAACAGTGAATAGACTTTACAAAAATATAGTCCAACTCGCGGAAAAATTCATATTTCACCACGATGCCTCACAAATGTCTGTGCCTTTATCTCATCAAACTGTTTCCATTCCCCAGGACGACGTTGGCTCTGACTACGCCGCTTTATGTGGAATCATGTTTGTGTTTTACCTGTTTGCCTTCATCGCCCTCAGTATTCGTGCCAGACGCTCTAAGGAATAGACAGAAGAGATGTCCTAGTTTGTGAGGCGTGCTGAGGAAATAAGTTTCTTCTCGCAATCCACGAAAGGAGATGTCAGCCGAAAATAGACTCATCAGATTGTCGGTTTAAAATTGATGCCATTTTCTTCAAGTTAAACATGTCTTTTATCACTTTGTATAATGAATTGAACACTCCCAACCTTTAATTCCATGTACAAGCCTGTGTCTAAAAATCCGAGAACTAACTCATTTTGTCAGGACACCTTATATTTATCTTTGATGTATTATTCCGCCGCTCTACCCTCTTTTAGACTGTTGCTGCTTTTGTCGAGATCGACAACAAGCCGGGAGAGAAATTTTTGTTTTGTTTGTTTTGGTTTAATCGACATTATGTATGTTTGTTCGAATAGAAAAACTCTTTAACATTTTGGTTCTGGGCATAGTGAACAGGATGATGGGAACGGAATGACAAATGGAGCTTTCTTTGCCGAGTAATTTTCATTGTTATATCTGAGGATATTTTGTCTTAAAAACTCATAAGTGATGCAATAAGACCTTATCCTTTTACCACATTGACTGTTCCGCATAGTTATCATATAGCATGTTTGAAAAGATTAACTGAATTTAGGCTACACAATCTTTCAACAAATAATTAAACGGCCTCCTTTGCATTTCATGAATATTTTAGGCTTAGCCCAGGTAAGGATGGAAATGATCATATTGAATGTAATAATATTATGGTGTAATAATATTATGGTGTAATAATATTATGCTGTAATAATATTATGCTGTAATAATATTATGCTGTAAGATAAAATACATTATTTCTATGCTCTCGTGCGTGAAAATACTTATTGCTCTTAGTGTGCAAGAAAGACAATCAGGGCCAGGATGTAATAACACTGTATGCTGGGGTGCATAATTTCTCATCAGTAATGTAAATTCGAAATTCTAATATTTGTACAGTATTTTGATTTATCGCCCCATTATGATCAGCGCGTATTCCGATGTTGCTGTCGTTCCTCATTGGAGAGAGTGGAAATAGTTTCAGAACAAACTACCGCGCTGAAAGCGTAGGTTAGACCCCTCCCCCCCTTGCCATTCTCTAAATGGCTACCTCTCCATTCCAAAACATGGTAAAAGTAAAGTTACACCCCCCCCCCCCATTCCAAATTCTGAACTGACTTTATCTAGTACTTTGTTCACAGCTACATGTTACAGATCGTTCTGAAGCACGGAGACATCGGAGGGAAGGGGGGGGGGATACTTTGCTTTCACCGTACAATTGACCCACTGTTTTCACTTTAATTCTTTGAATTTGCATATTATGTATTTTTAGAAAAAATGCCTGTATCTTGATTGTTTAAAGAATAATGCAAGATTTATGTAATCTCTCTATCTTGATCTACATGTCTGCCATATTCGGAACCCAACCTTATCCTCCTCTGGGCGGTGAACTGATTCGGAAACCTGTCTGCTTTCACTGTATTCCCTCAAAAACGTTCGTGTATTTTAAACATTATTTCTCGATGGGGTTAATTCCTCTATACACAACGTAAGGTCACTTGCTCAATCGGTCAATCGGGCAGGACAGTGGGCACATGACAAAGGGAAATCAAGTACTTCACACACAGACAATAGCTTGGCTAAACTTTTCAGTTATTATTTGTGTCACTCTTTTGCTGAACCAGCAGTTTTTGGAAGGCTTCACTATAATTGTTGACCTCACTAAACGCAACAAAGAGTAGAGTGTTGACATTTTACGAGTTTTGAAGGGGTGATGAGTAGCAGGACACATGTGTACTCAGAAGGGAGACTTGGTAGACAGAAAGTTTCTTTTCGTAACGTTTTATTGGAGGTGGGCTAACTGGTAGCGTGTCGCCCATGAGACCGGCTACAATCTTTTTGACTGTTTTGGTACTTATTGATGATGCACTATGTACATGTACATTCATTCGTTTTTTTTAGATTGACTATGATGTTCGCCATTATGCTTTCTATTCACATTTTTGCAATGTCAAACCATTTCATGAGATTTTGTGTTTGCAACTGATATCGGGAAACAGGTTCTACATATGTGAAGCATGCTGACAAAATGAGTTATTTCTCGCAGTCCACGAATGGAGATATGGGACAAAAATCGGCACAGGGGTCAAATTTGTCAATCATTAACAGATGCCATTTTCTTCAAGTTTGATATTTCTTTTATTATTTCATACAAATATTTTGTATAATCTCAACCGGAAAATTTGATGGATCTATGTCCATAGGGCTAGTATCTGAGTAGTAACTCATTTTGTCAGCACGCCTCACATATAATTTGTTTGGTGTTGTTCTTATTTTTCAAAAGCGGTTTGGGATCAAAATCTGTTCCCGTTGTTTGTTAAAATGGCGATAATTTGACATCATAAGCTTTCAATTCATTGAAAATAAAATGAATATGGGGTACGGTTTACGAAAGATAGAATGAAGTGTAAGTTAATCAGCCACAGTGCTTCAGGTTTTCGAGATGCTAAAAGTCGTATCATATATAAAGAAGACTTTAACAGTATTTATCTGTGGAGTCTCACAAAACCTTAGAGTTCTCCAAAAGAGCTAGTTTGGTTTGGTGTTGTTTTTTGTTGATCTTTGTCAACACATATTCTGGTTAATAGCTTTCTACGTCACCCAAATAGCATAAAAGCGTTTTGTTTAAAAACAAGACATGTGAATTGTGAATCAAAGAATCACCCCTGACGCATCACTCAAGATATCATTAGTCCCTTTGGTTGACCCAGGCTTAGAAACATATTTGCGCCGAATTGTACTCCACTGGAATTTCATCACTCATTTACTTATTCACGTTTACCCGGGACATTCATATTCATAGGCTGCAAACGGAAATTTCAACCTGTTTAGCTTACTCTGTTATGAGTTTTCAACGATATAGAACCATTGAAAATGAATGTTATATGTTTTCTTTATGCAATGTATATTTAAGTATTTTGTAACTATGTCAAGACAAAACGTTTATTGAAACCTTACAAATTTGCATTTGGACAATATATTAATGTTATAACTGGATGACAGTGCAGACATTCATGTGTTCGTAAACAGAAGCATCAGGCCCAATATATTTTTTGTATCTTGTAAATAGCGTCCGTTTTGATACCCTAAAAATTTGTACAAATCTTCTGTAACTATTTGGTTATTGGTACGATCGCTACTGATGTGCTGGAGAGCTTCAAAATAGTTATATTATCTTTCAACACTTTTTTGTGGGGGGTATTTTAAGATAATTATATATTATTATTATTATCAGACACTCAGTTTCACTGGTTGGGTACAAAAACTATTGTTTGATCAAACCCACTTTTGAAGGTAGTTGGTTTACAACGAGGGTTGGCCTTACGCTATAGGTTTTTGGTTCAATCCTTATAAAGAACCCTGAGAATGTTCTTCTGAGAAAGTGGTCCAGGTTTCGCTATTTTGCTCATAGAAATTGAAACTACGAAGTGGAAAATTTGTTGAAAAAGTTTGGGCGATATTAAAATAATAATTTAGTACTCTTTAATCCAACGTTAATTTCGACATGTTACCATAAATTCATTCATTTTAAAAATAAAATAGGCACTCAAAAATATGTTTGTTTAAACCACACAGCTATTCAGTTAAATCCTTTTAATAAGAGATGGTGTGTTTTTTATTCCAATGCGTTGTTTTCTATCCGTTGATAATGATTTACAATGCTTGTCATTTGATACTCTTTATATAGCTTTTTTTTTTTAAAGAAAGATGGTTTGTGTGAAAAATTTCATGTGCGCGAGAGCTGTGAACAAAGAATGTAATTACAATCATTGTAAAAGGTATTTTCTACTTCTGTCAAGGTACCAAGGAGTACCCAAGATGTTTAGTATTTATAGTATATTTTATTTAAAAGAAATCAATAAAATATTTTTTTTCAAAGAACGTAGTTCGTATATCTTTTTCTGAATTACTGTTAGTACATGCTGAAAAGATTAGTCTTGCTCCCTTCATCTTCCAGTATACAATTTTATACTTACTACGTTGTGATCATACTTCGTTCCTCAGAAGCAATCCCTGTTTTATCTAATAAATCAATGCTTTAATAGCAACCGACTTTGCCGCCTCGCCCCCCCCCCCTCCTTCCCAAGGAGAATTACCTTCTATGTTATGGCAGTGAAAAGGTCATGGGACAATGATCGTGCATGCATAAAATAGATAAAAACTATTTTTGCTTGAGCAAAGGTCGTAAGCGAATTGTAACGGAGTGTTTTCCTCATGCCCATTATTGTATTCAATCAATTATTCAGCAACTAAAGAAGAGCTACAAATAACTGTTCTATTCCGTAAAGGCTACCTTTTTCTTGAATGTAAAATGGTGAAAAAACATTTTCAGCACGAATGGTCATAGTAGATTAAAAGGCTACACCATGTATAATCCGTCAATTCACGAGCTGTGTATTGAAGAAGAGAAACTCACCTTGTAAACATTTGAATTGGTCATTTTTAAAAGAACGATTTGGGTCAAAGTCGTCAGATTTGCCAGTCTTCTAATTTATCATTATGTAAAGTCGTTCTCTATTCCCCCAGTCTCATTCCCTCCTAACTTTTCCCATCTTCCCAACTCTTTTATCGCCCCCCCCCCTGTCCGCCCCAACTTACCCAGACCAGACTGCTCCCCTCTCGTTTTGCACCTGATCCATCACAATGACTTCCCTTGTTCTCGTGTTCACCATCTCTAGCGTCCTTCCATTCCTTGCCCATAATCCCCAACCCCCATACTTTTCTCTGTGATGATGATGGGGCTGCTGCTGCTGCTGCTGCTGATGATGATGATGATGATGATGATGCTGATGATGATGATGATGCTGCTGCTGATGATGATGATGATGATGATGATGATGATGATGATGATGATGATGATGATTCACCATCATCATCGTCTTCATCAAATGTCTTGTCTGAAGTAGATATTGGCGGCCACAGCCATTGTACCTAAAGGTATCCGCTGCCCCAGCACACTGAAGTCAGAAGCCAGTCACAAAAATAACACACTCTGCCTGCCTTATCTTACCTTATCAAAAATTTTCAGAGATGTCAACCAGAAATGTTAGTTATTATTTGTTCACTGACGTTACAGCCTTAGATATGAGAACTACTATAACATGGTTGAAGAAATATTCTTTCCTATCTCTCAATAGCTCGCCGCTGTCAATAAAAACTAATGACATTAAAACGTGTGCCTGACAAAGCCCACAAAAAAGAGAAAACCTGTACAATAGTTAGGCTTTTTTCAATGCCTCATTTCATTTATTCACCAGAACAGATGGATTGTCAAACATATTATAAAACTCGACAGAGAAGTGTACGTAGTATCTATTAAAAAATAACAGCTACGTACACACAGAAGTTGAGCACTGGCGTCTGTTTGTTCGTTTCAGTATAAAGAGAAGCACATCGACAAAATAATGGTCATTTAGTGCTGAGAAAAAGTAAACAGACAGACAGAAACAACAAAGGGAAAGTAAAGACGTAGGAACGACTTGTGGCGCCCTCCAACCACCCACTAACCTTGCGTCTATGGTGTAGCCGTTAGGCGCTTTGACATTGCACGCAGAATAATATGTAACTTCAATTCCTGTGTGAGGGTTCATTTTATCGCGTATCTCCATCTGTCTGCAATGACTTTATATCTTTCTCAGTCCGAGGTTGTTCACTTCACGCAGGGTCTGAGCAGCCTGTCTTCTATACGGTCTAAATAGTTTTGACGAGGGCGTAAAATATTAACAATGACAATACTAAAATATGAAATAATTACGTCTTATACAACAACTTGTTCTTGAGCAATCGTTCAGCCACTACTATATGGAAATGAACCACACCTTTCCTCGGCCTTCTAGTAGCTCAGCTGATTGGATGTTCATAATAACCTGACCTTTGACCTTCCCTGGGGGCTAATAATCGTAACACATTGACCAAGAGGCAACTGTAGTGACTGAATGTGTCTACAAACATCACACAGTACAGGGAACTTTCACGTCTTGATCAGTGATGGGTTCCCGGCACAAGAAAAACTGTACCTCTAGCAATGGTACAGCGAGGATATCGTTGATGGG